AAACATCTCACCCATAGAAAGACTCCTCACTTGTTAACTTGCAAGTTCCTAAATTCTAAATTGCTGTTGCACATAGCGTTGCTATGAGTCAAAGCCAACTCAACAGCACCTAACAGCAACAAATAATTTCCGAATTTATCTCACTAACACCAGAGTCCAGCTGTCACTTATCTCAAAAGACTGTTCATAACAATAACAACAGCTAAAACACAGAGCTTACTATGCCCTAAGCACTACATTCTAAGGGATTTATTTAATTTCAAAATAACCTTAGGAAGTAGGTACTATAACCCTACATTACAGGTGGGGAAACTGAGGCACACAGAAGTTTACCAAGTGACCTAAGATCACATAGTTAGTAATGGCAGAGCTGGGTTCCAATCTAAGGAGTCTTGGCTTCAGAGTCTAGCCTCTCTGAGGCCTAAATTAGATCATAAACACAAAATGCTATACAAATACATAGTGGTAACATCTTTTGACCAGTTGTTTTCTTGAAGATGTCACATAAATCAAGAGTGAGATAATTTAAGACTAATTTTCCTATAGATTCATATTTCAATTTTTTATACCTAAAGAATTTATTAGTATTTTTATGTTATACTATTTTCAAATTCACAGGATGAAAATGTATTTTTCTCCCACAAAGTGGAGCTGCTCTCTTTCTTTTACCAGTTCCTGAAAAGCCCTTGGCCTAGGGGTCAAAATCTCTTCCTCAAATGATTTCAAGAAGTTCTGAGGCCAAAAATATTCCCCGAAGTCTTCTTTAATCCAAACAATAGTTTAACTAAACTATTAAAGAATGTCTGCTTTGAGCATTGTGCTCTTTTAAAAAACTATCTATATGGGATCAAACTGAAAATAGCAACTAGAAAGGTTAGATGGGAAACTTAAGGGGCATTGAATTTACTTCAATGGAAGAGAAAAAATTCAGAAAAGGAAGGTGAGAATGGATGCACAACTTGAAAAATGTAATCAATGTCAATGAATTATGTAGAAAATGGTGAACTGGTTATGTTCTGCTGTGTATATTTTCAACAATAACAAATACTGAATAAGATATTTGAAAAAAGATACTATCTGTGGTAGTTAAATTTGTATGTCAACGTGGCTGGGCCTGGGCAGCTGGTGGTAGTTATTCCCCAATATGAGACTGGCAATCAACTCCATAGTGGGATCTACCATAAGCAGCTGGGTAAGCTGCCTTTGGGATGTGGTCTGCTTCCTGCATATAAGGAGAAACCTTGGGGATAGTCTCTAGCTTATGGCACACTTGGACCCTGCATGTAGCTGTGTAGCTGTTCAGCAGCCTGCCATGCTCTGCCAACCTTGGGACTCACAATGGACTTAAAATTAATGGCCTGCCGTGTGGTTTGGTAACATCGGGACTGTGCCTTTTTATTTGTCAACCTTGGGTTTTTCAGCCTCAGCAGCTAGCAGCTGTCTGAGTGAAGAAACGCCTCTAGCTCCAGTGAGCCGGGAGCAGGAGGCAGAGCTGGACCCCAACGTTGAGGGGCTTTCACCCAGCCCCTAGAGCCTGGCACTCTAAACTTGGACTTAAAGCCTCCAAACTATAAGAGAATAAACTCCTGTTTGTTTAAGTCATCCCATTTGTGGTATATTCCTGTCACAGTGGCACTAGGTAACTATAACATTATAAAAAAAAAAAAAAATCTATTTGAAAAGTAAACAGCAGACTCTGGATTTAAAAAAAAAAAAAAAGAAAGAAAGAAAGCAGCAGCAACAGCAGCTCTATGGCTACTTCTATGTGTTTTATTCTCAAAGCTTATAAAGTCTTCTTGTTAACGCCTGATAGAACCACTAAGACTATGGCCCCTAGTTGCCCTTCAGGTCTGGAACTCAACCCACTCCTGTGGCTTCCAGCCAAACATAAGACAGGCATATGAGCTGAACATTTACATTAGGCAGATACACCCCTTGGAAAGATCAATCATGGGAGAACAGAAGGGCTGTGTATGCACAGGAAGACAGCTTGGGGGGCAGGAGTGCATGGAGGGAAGGACACAGAAAAGAGGTAACTATGGGGAGGAAGTGGGAGGGGAGCTGTTCCACTGTGGGAAACTGTAGTCACTGTCATGAGACAACGTGTACGTGAGTTGCTGTATGGAAAGTGAATTTGCTCTGTAAATTTTCATACATATCACAACAGAAAAAATTTTTTAAAACAGTCTTCTTGCTCTCAGAGGGGGATCTATGAAGGAGATCCTGGATAGAGAGGGAGAACAGTGTGGAACAACTCAAAATCATGTGGAAAAAAAAAAGGGGGGGGACCAGTTTTGCTGGTCTGACAGAGCCTGGTGAAACCACTGAGACTATGGTCCTTAGCTGCCCTTCAGGTCTGGAATTGAACCCACACCTGTGGCTTCCAGCCAAACAAAAGACAGGTATAAGAGTTGAACATGTACCTGAGGTAGAGACACTCCTTGGAGAGAACAATCATGGGAGAAAGAAGGGCTGTTAATGCACAGGGAGACAGTTTAGGGAGCAGGAATGCATGGAGAGGTGGACACACTGAAGAGGTAGCTATCGGGGAGGAAGTGGGAGGGGAGTTGTTGCATTTGGGTAAATTTTAGTCATTGTCATGGGACAACGTGTGTGTGAACTGCTGTATGGAAAGTTAATTTTCACCCAAATCACAATTAATCAATCAATAAAAGTCTTCTTGCTAAGATATTCATTCCCTCTCCATGCAGCTGCCAAACTCATGACCACATCCCTAAGAGAAGCATGTACTTTCCAGAGTAGGAACCCAAGGCAAAGCCCCAAGATGGTATGGAAAGAGCAATGGAGTCAGGAGATTCTGGTCCTGGCTCTGCCACTAAAGCAAGTGGGACTTAGAAATCACTCATGCCAATGGGCCTTAGGTTTTCTCATTCTTAAGAGGTAACGCTAGGTGGGAATGACTTGGGGAATTTTAGTACAACCTGTCTGCTCCCTATTCCCACCCTATACTGATTCATTTAGTTTCAAGTGAGGCAGAGTAAAGTCTCTAGAGCCCCCAGTTAATTCTAATGTGCAGTCAGTATTGAGAATCTCAAGAAAAGATCCACTTTTAGGGAACAGGTTTGCTGGTCTGATAGAACCTGGTAGAACCAATTTGAGATTATGGCCCCTAGCTGCTCTTCAGGTCTGGAATTGAACCCATACCTGTGGCTTCCAGCCAAGCAAAAGACAGGCATAAGAGTTGAACATTTACCTGAGGCAGATACCTTGGAAAGAATAATCATGGGAGAAAGAAGGGCTGTTTATGCGAAGGCAGACAGCTCAGGGGGTAGGGGTGCATGGAGGGATGTACACAGGTTAGAGGTGACTGTCGGGAGGAAGTGGGAGGGGAGCTGTTGTATTGTGGTGAACTGTGGTCAATGTCATGAGTCAAAGTGTACATATGTGAACTGCTGTATGGAAAGTGAATTTGCTCTGTAAATTTTCACCGAAATTACAATAATAAAAAAGAAAAGGTCCACTTTAGGACATCAAGAATTGCAACCGTGAACACCAATGGAAAAGAGAAACTGGCAAAGTACCATTTCAAGGGAGAGGAGGAACGGTCATCTTCTATGTACCTTTCCTGATAGATGTTTCACTGTATAAGGAAAACACACACAAGACTAACTATAACAGTGAAATTGTTCAGAAATTACTTCTCTCTGAGGAGTGCTCCCAGGAAACAAACCCTATGCTCTTCACTAAAGAGAAGCAGTGAGGCAGACAGCCCCTGTAGGGCACCACTACCAGGGAGTAGCCTCCAGGCCCAGGACTGATATAGTAGGTGGGCACCTCATTCTACGCAAAGGGCACAGCTCCCCATCCTGCATGTAGCCAAGTGTCAGTGCAAAGGCAAAGGGCATAACGCTGCTTAGGTCCAAGGCTACTCAGGAGTCAGGACACTGACAGGGCCTGGGGGTGCTTCAGGACACACATGAGCACAGGGTATGAGAGAGTCTCAGGGCTCTACAGGTTGTGAAAGAAAGATGGAAGTGTAAGGGGTTGGAGAGGGAGGTAAGGGTTGGGAGGGTGATCTTCATTTTTAACCCTTCCCCCAAAGTACCTACAGAGTAGATTAATTTCCCCCACTCCCAAAGAACAGTATTTATGCAGGTAATAATCAATATTATTAGCATGCATGATGTTTCTGGTGAACAACTTGGCCATTTCAAAATTAGTCACCATTATCTTTCCATCAGTACAGGTTAGCAGCACAGTAACTCAAAGCAGATTAACCTTCAGAAAGCAACTGCAATGAGAGCTTAGCCCTGTGCATAATAAACATCAGCCCTTCTGGTGATCAAAATCAAAGGGAAGAATGCAATGAGAATACATTCTAGCAACTATGGCAACAATCTGTCTATGCTCCAAACATGCACCACACAGAGAGGCCTCAGGCCTCCTTGTACTCTGTGGGAACACATCCAAAGTTTCCTCAGTGTGATCACCAATGTGAGAATCAGAGGACCCAAACTGCACACCCTGCTCTGAATCCACCCCTGCACAGGACAGAACTGGCCCCAACCAAATCAGACCTGCCGTACTTCAGGATAGAAAGGTGAGTGAACAACTTATGAGTCTAGCCCCCATTCCACCAGGCCCCTATCTGGCCTCATCAAGGAGAACCAGGCCTCCACTTGGGGAGAAGGGCAGTACCTCACTGGGGGTTTGGGAAGCTGAAATATCTTTTGTTCCTACTATCCCAGATGGGTCATTTTTTCTCCTATACCACAAACCTTTACTATTCTAAATTTTCTTTTCCAATTTTGAGACTTAGACAATTGAGCTGATATAATCTGGCAGAAAAGCTAGGATAAAAATAACTTGCCCAAATATACTCAGGGACACCCCAGTTGCACGACCTATAAATTTCAAGTGATCAGAACAAAGGAAACTTAAGAGTCTTTCCCTCTTGAGTGTGGACAGCCTAGCTGTGACAAGCTGTGAAGAGAGAGGAGCTCAAGCAACGCAGCACTGACTGCTCTCAAGACCCTCACCAAGTTTGTCTGTGGATGAGATAATATCAGCTGGCACGGAGGAGTCCAGATCAGCATCCAAAATTCCCAGGGGGTCCAGCTGTGCTACATGGTGCCCTCGTATCTATGGATGGGCCAACAATGGAGAGGGAAGGACACACACAAAAGGAAGGAGGAAAAAAAAAGAGGGGAGGGGTAAAAAAAAAAGTAAAATTACATTAAAATTAGCATTTGCAGATTAGTTCTCACCCACGTTTGAAGAAACAGTTACTGGAGCATCATCAAAATTTACACAACTAATTCCGAGAGGATCAAGTTTTGCAATGTGGTGACCCCTGACCTGGAAGCAACAATACAAATCAGTCATTAAACAGATTAAATGAGGTATGGAAAGGGCTAACAGAGTTATACTTCATACAAACCTTTCCCAAAGAGGATCATCAGCACCAATGAACTCATACAACAAAATTAGATTTTAAAGTCTTAGGATGGTTTCTTTTAAAAGGACTACTGTACATAAACGAACTTTTGTTTTAAAAAGGGAGTGGAGGGGAGATACATTTCTCAGGTTTAATAAATTCTGGCAGTCTAAAAGGATCCATTACTTGGGCATCAGCTTGCCTCCCATTTCCTAGGATAAATAGATTTAGAGGATCCTCTCACCTGCCTCTCCCTGTTTCTGAGAGTTTTGCTTCTCTCCTCAAACTTTATAGGTTTATTTTCTTATAGAGAAGGAGCTCTGGTAATGTACTAGGTAAGATATCTGGCTACTAACCAGAAGGTCTATGGTTGAAACCCACCAGGTGCTCTGTGGGAGGAAGATGAGACAATCTATTTCCATAAAGATTTACAGCCTTATAAACTCAATGGGGGACATTACATCAGAATTGACTCTATGGCACTGGGTTTGGTGTTTTGCTTTTTTCTCTTACGGTATGTGGTTGCTAGCAACTGAAGACAGGCAGTGATAAACCTAACTGAAGTTCTTGCCCCTGGCTGCCAAGCCAGAACGTCACAGCTCACTTCTGGATGGCAGCATCAGGAGACCATCTATGTCTCCTTGATGGGCAAATATTGACTGGATTTTTCTGCTCACAGAAATTGTTTTCTTGCAAACTTATGAAAATAAACAAGAATTATTTATGTGGTAGGCATTAAAGATAGCAGAAGGCTTACTCAAATAGTGACAGAAAGTCCCAGCACTTTTTCTCTTTTAATATTGAATGTATTGCCTCCCCAAGATGGCAAAACATGGAGAAAGCACTTAGAAAGGCTACAATGACATCCCAATGGAATGTGAAGAATGCTGCATCCTCTCTCCCTTGAACAAAGTTCATACATGTCTTACCTGATATGCCCTGATAAGCGACTGCACAGCCAAGTGGTCTTCCACAAGTTTGTCAACATTGGGCTGGGCCTCTACCAGTGACTGTGCTCGCGCGATGGCAGAAAGGGATCCTCGGCTCAGGGGCAGGGGGCTTTGGTAGGCAGTGCCTGGGGGGGCTCCAGCATTGGTGTTGCGGAAAAATATGTCCCATGACTAAAAATAAAGAAGACATCCAAGTATTAATCCAAGGCACCTCAAACTCCATTTACTCATTTCTTAACTACAGCAAGCCAGAAGGAAGAACTCTCTCCCAAGTGTGATATGTCTGCTTATACTTGCCTACCAAAAAGCCGCTGAAGTCCATCTCAACCACCTCCAACTTGAGAGGCATTCATCAGAGTGTGGCCCTCCAGTCCTTTCCTTTTTATAATAACCCTTAAAATGTGCTTTTGTATCCCCAACAATGATGACATCTATGACTACTGACCCAGCATCCATGCACAGGGCATTTCCATCCATCTGGCCTTCCATGAACAAAACTATCTCATGTGGAAACACAGGCATATGAGGTGAACATTTATACTAGGTAGATAAACAACTTGAAGAGAACAATCATGGGAGAACAGAAGGGCTGTGTATGCACAGAGACATAGCTCAGGGGGCAGGAGTGCATGGAGGGAAGGACATAGGGAAGAGGTAATATGGGGAGGAAGAGGAAGGGGAGATGTTACATGGTGGTAAATTGTAGTCAATGTCACGAGACAAAGTATATGTGAACTGCTGTATGGAACATGAATTTGAAAAAAAAAAAAAAAAGTAAGTGAATTTGCTCTGTAAACTTTCACCCAAATCACAATTAAAAAAAAAAAAAAAAAAAACTATCTCATGTGCTGAAGGCCAACCTGCTTCTCTTCATTCCCACATCTGCATGCCTTCTATCTGCCAGGTCTGGGGTATAGGCAAACAGAAGATATTTCCTTGCCCAATCTGCTTTCTTCCCCAACCCTACTCCATATGGAAAGTTGAGTGCTCTTGGCTTTCCTCTACCTGTAAGTCTTCAGCAATACCAGATACTGCATACCTCTCTACCTGGTCTTCCTGCCAGTCAAGTGCTAAAGTGTGTGTAGAGGACTTATCACCTGTCTCCTCAAAATCCTCAGAGGCTCAGCCTAACCTCTAGAAGCACTCTCTTCCAGGGGCTCATTCAACAATCTGGCTGCCCCTCCATGATATCTTAGTCTCTGGATTAACCTGTATCTTGTAAGAGGCAGCATAAGGATCTTATTTGTGAAGTCTACCCTTATCAATAGAGAAATAATCTACATACTTCATAGAGCATTTAGTAGTACTCATGTGGAACCTGTACATAGACCAAAAGGCAGTCAATTGAACAGAACAAGGGCATATTGCATGGTTTAAAATCAGGAAAGGTATGTGTCAGGATTGTAGCCTCTCACTATAGTAATCCAATCTGTATGCTGAGAAAATAATCTGAAAAGCTGGACTATAAGAAGAAAAACATAGCACCAGGATAGAAAGAAGACCCATTAACAAACTGCAAAATGCAGAACACACAACATTGCTTGCTGAATGTTAGGAGGACTTGAAGCACTTACTGATGAAAATCAAAGACTACAGCCATTAGCATGGATTATACATCAACATAAATAAAAGAATAAAGTTGTCAAGGATTTTATTTTACTTGGATCCACGATTAATACCCATGAAGCAGTAGTCAAGAAATCAAATGACACAGCAACAACCAAAAAATTAAAAGAGAGTAGCTGCTAAAACTGCTTATATACAACCAAACACCTCATAGGATTTAGTTTCTCGGTTTGGAGATTTAAGGCCATGATTTCCTGGGGCATCCGAGTTAACTGGCCTGATATTATGTTTAGTACTTCTGTATTACCTCCTAGTTTGTTATGTAGTCCCTGGGGTCTTAAAAGCTTGCAAATGGCCATTCAAAATACAGCAATTGGTCTCTATTTACCCAGAGCAACAGGAAGGAGAATCAGGAATAGAAAGAAGAATATGTGGCTACTTGCCTCAATGAACAATTGCCTCCTGTACAGTACCCAGCTATCATCCACTTTTGAATGTTTTGACAAAGATGCTATCAAAGAATCCTGATCAAAAGGAAGATAAAATGGAACTAAATCTCATATTCTCAAGGACTCCAGATTTTCTCGAGTCACAGTGGCTGGATAAACACACAAAACAACAGTCCTGAGACAATCTTTAAACCTTAAACCAAAAATAACCCCTGAAGTCTTCTTAAAACTGAATAATAATAGCTTAGCGTAGACTGGTTAAAAAAAAAAAAAAAGGTCTGCCTTGAGCTTCATGCTATTTGAAGAACTATAGAAATAGGATCAAACTGGCAAAACCAATATAAACAACTACACAGGAACATTAAGGGACAGTGTGTTAATGTTAACAAAGGAGGAAGAGAATAGCTATACAACTCAAAGAATGTAATCACTGTTAGTAAATTATACTTGCAGAAACTGTTCAATATATATTTTGATGTGTTATATGAACAACAAAAAAAAAATAAATAAAATTTAGGGGGGAAATGACATATTGCATTGTACTATTTGCTGCAAAAGACCTCTGTAAAGTATTAAAAAGCAAAGATGTCACAAAGGTGCACCTGACTTAAGCTGTGCTACTTTCAATTGTCTGAAATTAGTACTGTCCAGCATATGAAAGCTGGACAATGAATAAGTAAGAATGATGAAGGACAGATGCATCTGAATTATGGTCTTGGCAAAGAATATTCAATATACTATGGAATACCAGAAAAATTAATAAATCTGTCTTAAAGAAGTACAGTGGGAATGCCCCTTAGAAGTTAAGATAGTGACATTTTGACTGACACACTTAGATATGTTATTAGAAAGGACCAGTCCCTGGAAAAGGACATCATTCTTGGTAAACTGGAGGGTAGCAAAGAAAAGACAACCTTCAACGAGATGGATCGACAATGGGCTCAAATACAGCAATAAGTGTGAGGATGGTGCATGACTATGCACTGTTTTATCCTGTTTTACACAGAGATGTTATGAGTCAGAACCACCTTGATGGCACCTAAAAAGAACAAAATGTAGCACTTAAGAAATCAGTGTAGCTTGGGGTAAGATGGCTGACTAGGCAGAAAGACTGCACAGACTCTCCTCAACAAAGAAAAGGGAAACCAATTAACACAGACACAGAAGATAATCATGGACCCTTGAGCCTTGAAGGGAAGGATATAGAAGTGGACTAAACACCAACTAGCAGAAGAATTTGTATGAAAATACCAAAAAAGGAGACAGACAGAGCTGCAGTCTGGCAACGATCCTGAGAAATCTTGACGGCACAGACAGCTTGGAGATTCCCAAGTGGTGGTAGGACCTAAGAATTAACCTAAAAATCAGCACTGCTAGCCAGGGACTGCACAGGGACTGCTCTGGTGGCTGGGGAATAAACGGAGAAAGTGAAGAGAAAAGCGGGCTGAGCTGTGGACTTGTGCCAGTCCGGAGGGCACCGCCATTATGAAAGTTACAAGCCGCTTGACTATTTTGGATATTTAAACAGACAGTGCTCTCCAACATTCCAGGGCCTTAAGAAAAGGTTCGGCTTTCCAGCAACCCCAAGGACACTAGAGACCTGAAAGACTGAAAAGGTGTGACATTCCTCTTGTTACTTTTAAACCCACACCCACTTGGTGAATGGAGTTGCAGCCATTCCCCACTCCCACCCACCTTCTGGGCCTACAGGAACTCAATCACAGTCTGTGTGATCAGACGGAGCCTGGGTGCCCTGCCCTGACCACCACCGATTTTTTTTCTTTTATTACGTTTTCACTTTCTTTTCTCTGGTAATTTGTTTGCTTGTATTTGTCTATTTTAAAACAACTATTATTATTAATACTTTTGTCCTTTTTACGATTA